AAGACCTGGAAGATATGTATTGCAGGAATTACAATAGGTCGGATATAATCCGTCCCTTAAAATATTGACAGGATACTTAGTTGCTCTTTTCGTTAAAAATAAAGACAATACAAAAATAAAATAATATTTAAATGTTTTTGGAAATGTATCTTTAATATTAATTTAACCGTACAGTACCTCAAAAAAGGGGACCATTATGAAATTTGTTTACCTAGTCAAAGGTACGGAACCTTTTGTGTTACAATCTTACAGAACAATTTTTATATAATTATATGTTGTCTAGCAGCACCTGGTGATTATAGGGGATTTAGCCTTAATCGTACAACCTCTGAAAAGTTTACGACAGCTATGTAATTTGGGTTACTCCGGCGGAACGGGAAAATAAGCTTCAAAATTTATTAAAGCACACATTTTCGTAACGAAACTCAGTGAAAAACTGAGTGAGAAAACTCGCGTTTTCCATAAAAGCGCAACTGTTTGAGCTAGCTTTTTGTGCCACAGTAATTTTTAATTTTGTTTTACAATTAGATGTTGCTTCTGGAAAATTCTGTTACTGAACGAAATTGGTAATTGAAAATTGTTTTTCTATAAATTGCTTTGACCTCTGCCCTTCAATATTTATGGGTGGAAAGGCTTTAATTTTAACAGACAATTCTTCGAATCCAATATCCGCTTGCGCCTGAGCTGTGTTATATTCATATAAACCGGCTTAGAATTTCATTTTTTGTAAGTCATATCTATACTTATGAATATGAAGCTGAAGAGTTTGTTTGTTTGTTTAAAAACGCTAATCAGTTTTGGTTAGAGCATTTATCGAGGAAGTCTAAAAGTTATAAAACATCGCCCTGTAACTTATACAAGCGAAGATACAGCAGGATACGTAAACAATTTTGGAAAAATTATTCATCATTATGGGTTTCCGAGGAGTACGCTGCAAAAACGGTTCAAGATACCCAAAAAATATTTATGGAAGATTAATTCCTCTTTAAATAATCTAAAAAAAGTCCCCGTCGCTATATACCTCTCTTTTTTAAGATTAACTTGCAAGAATGACGGGAAGGGACGTGACCGACGCCGTGGGCAACAGCTTAAGCTTACGAAGAGAATTTGGATACCCAAATAAATATACTTAGCGGACGAAGTCGCTGGCACAGCTAGTATAATATTATAATTATGACATTTACTATTCTTTAAACCTATCACTTATTATCTCATCTATACAATATTATACAGATGAAGAGTTGGTTTGTTTGTTTAATTGAAAGCGTTATTCTCAGAAACTACTGTACTACGGTTCGCGTTTAAAAATTTATTGTATTTGTTAGAACACTCATCAAGGAAGGATTTTAGGCTATAATGATGATATACAAAAATATGTATGGAAGAACAATTTCTCTTTGAATTATATAAAAAAATGTCCCCAACACTATATGTCTATCTTAGAAGATGAATTTACAAGAATAACGGAACCCGAACGACGAATAGCGAGCGACGGAACACGACCGATGTCATGGGTAACATCTCGACTAATTTGTATTCCCAAAATAACTATTCTACGCGAACGAAGTCGCTGACACAGCTAGTTAAAGAATAAACGACAATTTAAACACATGTTATGTGAAAGGTCCTTCATCAAAGGACAGAGTTGAAACTGTACTTAAATCGATGCGGAGATTAGTTCTAAAGTCACTTGCAAGTTGTTGGCGAATCAATTACTTAGTGGTTCATGACTTGTATCGTATGTAATTAATCAGAGAGTCCTATTAATTAATATCTTAGATAGCTTTGTTAGCATTAATAACCCAATATATGTTAGTGCTGTTTAAGCGTTAATTTGGCATACAATATATATAAGCTGCGATTAACCGAACTTAAAGTAGCTTACAATAGAAATATATACATCTCGTAATATATTGAGATAAAACGCTGATGTATTGGTTAAATACCAATACATCAGATTGGTTAAATCTATTTACAAATTATTTTGAGTATTGCCCGTCGCTTCGAATGCTTTGCAGCAGCACGTCTTGGGGAGACTAAAGATGGAGGAAATCCCTAACGTCAAAGTAAAAACCGCTACGCTAGCGCCATTTGTGCCGTCGTAATATTTGCCATAACTGGCTGGGTCTTTGCAGGACTAACGATGTCCTCGCGTTTACCGATATAATGTTTTTTAGATCTAGTGTTCTTAGTATGACATCCATATTGAAATTCCTGTATTTTTTGATTTCGACTAGTCAAAATAAATATAGTGATGGCATACCGCAGATTTGAAGAGGAGATTTGCATGTATGTATTACTTAAGATATGTACAGACTGGTTAAAAAAAAAAGGTAAATATATTATAATTAAATTTTTATATAACTTTGGTAATAGTATTTTCTACGTATTTACTTTTACAAGTTTTGTGTATCATAGCAAGTAATAGGCTTTTTTATTATTTTATTATAAAAATATGGATTGCGTTGTATGGATTAAAATCAAGAAAACTATTGTTGTATATATAAGTTGAGAACAAAAAAATTACCATTTAACATTTAGTTGACATAATCCACTTTGTCAAGTTGGCTCGTGACTGCCTTATTCAGTTGCTACAATAAACTTACTCCCAATTGAATGTTCCAGTACAATACGTTCGCCCTCTTTTGTCTTTGACTTGCGTAAACTGAATTATTATCATTTCTTAGTGAAATCACGTTGCTTACACAGTTAAGAATAAACCTACAGAAAATGAGAAACATTTCAAATAAAACACTGTCTGTAGTTTACGCAAGTAGCACACATTTAAATTAAACACTATAGCGGTGTAAAACGCGATAGATATTAGTGCTTATTTGAAAATTGTTTTAACTATGGCCCGACGTTTCAGATATTTTGCAGCAGCCGTGGTTACGGGTAGACGTCGGGCCTTAGCTAAAATAATTAAACTAAATATATCGCGTTTTAAACCGTTAAAGTACTCTATTTAAACAACTGCAATATTCTTCTATTTTTTTATATTTTATAGGTGTGGTGTTTACTACATTAAATTTGATATATTTAAAATTTTGACCGCTCAATAAAAAATAAGTATCTTCCTCATCTGGTTGATAATTCAACTTTTCGGATATAAAGTAATCGATGTTATAAAACAACATATATACAATCCAGCCCTCAATAGCCATGACTCCTGCAACGTATCCGTAACGGCAGGCCGTAGGTAAAATAACTTCTAACACCAATGGATTGACTAACAGGAGCGAAGACACAGTAAGAAATGTGGAAAAAACGGGGGAAAATATTAATCTTAGAGGGTGTCATTTACGTAATGACGTAAAATACCCAAAGAATGTGTAAGAAATAATCATTCTTCTTTAAACGGTGTAAAAATATGTCTATGACAGTATTTTTTAAGATTAACTTACAAGGGCATTTGAGGCAAATTTCAATGTCCAAAATAACTATTAACGTAGACGAAACCACAGCTACAGCTAGTCTTTTTAAAAACGTATAAATTATAACTATTTCAACTTCATATATTCAGACAATAGAAACTATATACATATAGGGCACTTACTAAATGAATATATGCATTACATTACAATAAATGATCTAGAATATATATGTATCCATTCTCCTCATTAGCACTAATAGCTGTTATAATACAATTTCGCTATCAAAGGCAAAGGGAAGGTCAAACGCTCTTGATAGTTAACTTAAGTTTCATTTGAAACGAACGCTGTTATGAAGTGCAATTTAGTATCGAATATTGATATATATATATCGCGTTTTAAACCTATATATATATATAGGTTAATTATTATATATTAATTATATAAGAGATTATTATATAGATTATTATATAAAGAGATTATTATATATTAATTATAGAAGAGGGCATACACACATGGGGTTTATTTAATGGTAGGTAGAAAACCCCAGCCATAAACATATAAACGAGATGCGTCGTTGACCTATTTTGGCTTTGGATATTCGGAAATGCAACTAAAACCGAAACTCGATTAAACTTCACAGCTTTTTCACTTTTGACCTAGATGATAGTTCTATACTCCTACCACACACTCAGTCAGACGAAGTCCAACATGAATATTAATTAAATCGAATCATTTATTTTACAGACAATAATACAAAAAAAAATAGATGTCTAGCTTTTGTTTGTACACCTGGAAGTAGGCACAACAAAACTGAAAATGTTAAGTAGAACATATACATACACACATTGCAAATGGTTTATAATCGAATAATTAAAAACACGACTCCTTCGATAAGAAACTTCGGTTTCCTTGATCGCGATCGTAATCTCGGTATTATTCTTTGAGATTGGCAAACGTCATTTTTCCATTATAAAAACGATAACTGAAATCAGTTTTCAGACTTCAGACGTAAAGCTATTTCCCTCCTGGGAAGAATCCGATGAGATTTGCAAATGTATAAAGGGGCTGCTTACAATATTAAATTGTATTATAATCTTCGAGAGAGCAAATAAAAAGATTCGAGGTTTAAAAAACAAATTTTTAATACTGACTATAAAAGCCTTCCTTTAAAATTTAACAGCATTGCCTAGCATTAGGGCTCGGGAGGTTCTTAGTTCGAATCCCAGCAAGATATAAATAGTTTAGTATAGAGCATGGAAATCTAAACTTAATCACAACCTTCCATAAATAAAATTGGACAATGGGCCAGACACAGTTTGTGACTGCTTCAACTATAGAACATACAATGGAAGTGATTTGATAATTTAGATAAATTTTTTTACATTAATAATAATATAAGTTTTTCACTTTACTTTTAACGAAGCACCTTTTAGACTCGATCTTTATAGAATTTTGCAAAGATAATTCAATTTATCATATATACGAGACATAAAATGGAAAGTTCTTAAAAATCAAATATTAATTAGGATAAAATATTGCCTTGTGCTTTGAAATTACGACATACAAACAGCTACATATCAACGCGTTCTTATGTATAATATTGTTTTACAGAATTACAAAACTCACCGTCAAAATCCCTTGATTGGGAAGTTAGATTAGAAAGATGTCGGTTGTCTAACGATGTCACGGTCCCTTCCACATATTGTATATCAACTAAATTATCAGCGTCTTGTTTTGCTTCACGATCTTGAACCTCTTTGTTCACTGACGCAGAGTCACCCCGTAATCCAGTTTTGTTTACAGTCGACGAGTAATCGTAAAAGATTTTCGTTCGAGTCGCGTCGTCGATTTTCAGTTTCTCCATCGCTTCGTCTTTGCTCTTCCACGATGCGTCTTTGAAGGCCTTCTCATGGTTCAAATCGAATTTTGATACAGATTTATTTAAATCGCTAATAGATTCAATATAATCGTTATTGATTACAGTTAGCGTTCGATTTGTATGATCTGTCTTGTTAATCGATTCAATATAATAATAGACATCGTCTGTAGTATTGTGATATTCTATATAATCGCTTCTATCTTTTCTCCTAAATCTATTGAGGAGAGTCTCGTAATTGTCCACTTTGAGTCCGTTTTTGTATTCCGCATGGTCTTCAGCAAAATGTAATGAGGTTTCGTTTATTGTTTTTGGATTTTTCGCGATCATTTGAGCGCTGAGTATAGGCAAGAGAAAGTGTAGGGTTAGGAGAAGGGGTGAAAACGAGGGTTCTCGAAAGGGTGAGTTTTGGGGTGTGGGGTGAGTCTGCCGGAGCCTCATGCCCGGCCGGCGGTCAGCGACTGCTAATCTGGAAACAAGAAAAAAAGTTTAAATTGCATCCCGTCTCTTTGGAGAGCTTTTATGTGTTAACGTTGTAATTTAATATTGTTTCAACGGTGAAGAGTTGAGCGTTTGAGGATTAAGTGAAGTGAAACATCGCTAATCCGTTAAACAAATATTGAAAGACTGAAATCCCGCCTTTTCTATTTATGTGCCGATCATTTTTAAAGGCTATTAAAGTTAAAGTAGACCAAACTTCTGGCCTTAACCAAAACTATTACGTTACCCAAGGACACGAAACCTGCACATTTTACATTTAAGGCCAATCTAGGGTATGAATAAAGCCATTCAGTTCTGAAAAGTGTAAAAAAACAAACTTTTAAGGGTTCCGAAGGCTATCATTGCGATGCATCGAGCTTTTTCCTCTATGTCAATAAGTTTGCCTATTGTCATTATATACAATAATATACAACAAAACAGAAATTAACGACACGGGCAGGACTTCACCCGGCATCCACAGCGATTGATAGATTGTAGCTTAAGTAGTTAAAATGGCAGCACGGAACTCTGCAAATGCCGGTTCCAGACCCGCCCGTGTCGTATTTTTTCTTCAATTTGATATATATTGCCATCGTGTGCCAAATAACATGTGAAAAATATTAAAAAATTATAAAACACTTCACAAGTACTTAATATAATTTGTGTTAAGAGATTGTTTCAAATAAAAAATCACTCAATTATTATAAACAGTCTTACACTGTCTGGATATAATCAAACACAGTGGAGAATACTTTACATCTAAGTATATACCCACGCATCGACAAGATTTGACATACACTCCGCTAATGTGTTTGTCTAAGAGATTCAATATTAGTATTTGCGGAATCTTGTTTTACTCGTCCTGATTATAAGAACATAGATCTATATAATACCAAGTAAAATCCCACTTAGCCCTTGTGGGGCATAGGGCAATATCTCTTTTCGTTTTACTGATGGGTTCTTTACAAGCAAGTAGGTAATGCTGCTAACTGCCCGAATAAGATCTTTTGTTGCTCCGAAATTCGAACTCAGGACCGTAGGACCTTAACGCGACGCTAGGCAACGCGTGTAACTATTTAGATACAGAGGCGGTAAGATAATACGAGATTTTCCTTAATTATACAATATTATGTTAAATTAAAATCTTGGAATAAAATGGCGAAAATTTAAAATCGGCAATTAGCTAACAATATTTAAACATAACTAGGGATAGAACAGCTCACGGCTAGTTATTTAAAAAATAATAAAATAAATTTTTTTATGCCTTTTAGGGACATCCCTCATTTGCAGCGCCCCGCTCACCACACGACCACGGTCCCTGCAATGCATCCCTAACGTCGGGCCGTAGTTAAACTAATTTTTTACATAAATTAACTCGTACATTTCTCGTTTTAAAACATTGAAAGTGTTTTATTTAAAAGTGGGCTTGTCTTAATCAAAACACAGCAGGACGATGAAACATGACAGAAGAAGTCCTTTCTCCTTTGTTTTTACGAAGGATTATTTGAAAGCGACGGCTAGTATTATTGTAGGGCGGGACTCGATATCCAATCAAAGTTACGAGGCCGCGGGGTTACCAAGGCATATAGAAAATGAGATTAATTCGCGCTCCAACTTGCATCCCGGGAGATTTCTGTTCCATTGATTTCCCACTTTCAATACGCGTTTATTCGAATTTGATACATTACACGTTCCATAGAAAAGTGCCTATATTTGTTAAGTCACAGGAAAACACAAAACCGATGTGTGATTAATATTTTCTTGACAGAGAGATAGATATGGGTTTAATTTGTGGGAAGGAACTGACCCTGGCCATATAGCCAAACAAAATGCGTTGTTGACCTATTTTTGTAAATTATAATATATCTATACTAATATATAACGCTAAAGACATATATAATTTAAAAATCGAAAATAAATTGAAAAAATTTTCGACTCGGGCAAAATTTTTTCAATTTATTTTCGATTTTTCAAATAATGCAAAACCTTGAAAACTGATCATATATGATAAACAATATATCGCACCCCTAGATGAAATCCAAATTATATATTTTTTATGACTAAGACAGAAAATCTTGGTTAATTCAACTTTAATTGAGTGAAACCAATGCATGCCATTCTCTGTTATAAAAAACTGATGGCTCGAGACTCGTCGTTCGGTTCCCGTCGTTCTTGCGAGTACATTTTAAGAGACAGACATATACTCACACAGGTCACAGAAAGTTTTTTGATAATTTAAAGAAGTATCTTGATCCATTTTCGGACCATACGCATCGAAAACCTACAAAGATGAATATTTTTCCCCGTTTTTACCGCATTTTCCGCAGTTACTTCGCTCTTTTAACCAAAAAAAAGAATTTTTCAATTCGAATTTCTGTGATTAGCGCGTTCAAACAAACAAATACACTCTTCTTTATAATAAATATTAGAATAGATTGTTTTTTTCTCTAAAATGTTTCTTATATCTAGGGTTGCCTGGAAGAGCTTGCTTGTGAGCGACAAGGCTAAATTAATTTTATTGTGCCCTTAAATAAGGAACAGGGACACTCCAAACTTTTTTTATATAGGAATAATTAAATAACAGAAAGGTATAAAATAAAATATATATTTCTTTTCTCACAGGTGTATGTGGCATTGTTTCTTTTCATTGCAGTTCATACCATTTAAAAATTTATTTTTGTAAGGAAATTTCATATTGTTCCTTGGAATAACTTAGTATTGTAATCTTTCTTAACTTTATTTTGTAAGTTATTTTTGCGAGATATAAAATATACATTATATACTCGTAGTTAGTTTACAAATTAGGTTTACTACAATAGAACAATGCTCAAATGTCTACGTAGGTTTATGCGAGTAGTAGACATTTAAATAAAACACTTTTAACGTGTGTGTTCTCCCCGTGACCACGGCTGCTGCATCCGAAACGTCGGGCCGAAGTTAAAAATCATTTTCAAATAAGTTTAACTAATATATCGCGTTTTAAACTGTGAAAGTGTTTTATTTAAACACTTTTAACGGTTTAGAATCGCGAAATATGCTAGTCAACCTATTTTAACTACGGCTACTGCAGCGTCTCCGAAATGTCAATCTATAGTTAAAATAATTTAACTAATATATATTATTTCGCGTTACGCTCAAATGTGCAATTTTAGTAATAAGGCACAAAAAACCTTGAAAACATCTAACAAGTATTCATTAGATAAAGGTAGAAGAGACTGTAACTCACTTCGTTAGAGAACGCTACAATAATGTTATTCTAACGAAAATAAATGAGATGGCAGCCCTATTTTAAGTAGTATTATTACAATGTGTGGCTCATTGGCTTTGTTACGAAGCTTACGATCAAATATTTATGCAAATGTGAATGGTAAAAGGTTCCCTTTTGGTATTTCGGCTTTGAAGAGGTCTTATAAGAATAAAATGTGTGCTCTTAGTAACAATCGATCTATTTTAAGTGTTTTACTATTGGAACGGCAATTTCTTTTATTTCCCTCTATTAGTTATATTACTGACCGCCTCTGTAGATAAATGATTAAACTTGTTGCCTAATATTGCGTTAAAAGCCAGAGATACTGTGTTCGAATCCCGGGGATACAATCTGACCGCAATCAGACGGGTCTGCTCAACTTGCGTGTAAAGAAAATCGATCAGTGAAACGAACACAACAATGTGTTCGCCCCATGCCCCATGCGGGGAAACTGGATTTCACTCATTTATAAGGCTAATTTTAGGCATTAACAAAAATATAAGGCAATGGCAAACAGATAATAACTGACAAGAAACTTATAATATAATTAATGGAGATAATAAATATTCAATTTACTTTATTACAAAAAACATACTAGATGATGAGTACATAAGATAATAAAACAAATGTAATCGGTTTCAAATCTTGAACTATCTTATTTTTAATTTTTTAAGCGTTTAATGAAAGGAATAATGTTAGCACATGTCAAACGAGCCATAAGTGTGCCGTTTCTCCTGTCTATGCAGCAGAATTATTCCAGTATCCAAACTAATCGGTTGTATTTACACGCAAGTAGTTATTTTACTAATGTGCCCTGCCCGACCGAACAAAATAATTGTTTCCGTTGGACTTAATGCAGTGCCAGGCAACGCGTTCAACCATCGATCCATGAAGGCAATTGTGATAGTAAGAAAATAATTAGTGAGAGTATTTAATTAGTGAGTGTTAGTTATCCCGGCTTAATAAAGAACTCTAACAAGTACGAGGACATCTAATTAGCCCGGGATAACTAAGTCGCGATCAACGATTCGATAAGATTAGCTCGGGATTCGGGATTGGGCCTTGTTAACATGAAAATGAGCCCCAGAGAAGTCTTAGCCACACTCATGAATTAAACAACGAAAGTTTATTACCCTCGGTTTGGGGAGAACCCTAAAATGAAGTATTTAAAATCTTATTAATTAAGACTGTGATTGAGTTGAGGTATATGGAGAAGATTAGGAAGGAAAATTTCTTCAAATTCTAATTTACCAGTTTTATTACCTAGTACATAAGAATTTATTGTTGTAAACATTTCTGTGGTGTTTGTAATTAATAAATTAATAAATAATAAATAAAACACTTTAACGGTTTAAAACGCGATATATTAGTTAAACTTATTTGGAAATAATTTTTAACTTCGGCCCGACGTTTCGGATGCTTTCCAACAGCCGCGGTCACGGGGAATCTCTCACTCTAAAATAATCTCCAAATAAGTTTAATCAATATATATAGGGTTTAAACTTTTAAAGTAATTTATTTTAATGTGTTCCTCTATATTTTTTTATTATAAAGGAAGACAGACAAGCAAAGGCTTCACTAGCTGGAAGGTAAGATAGTCCAACCATAAAAGCTGGCAAGCTGCGCTATCGACCTAATATAGCGTGGTGGTGGATATTCAGAAATCCACACATTGAAATCGAAACTTTACGGCATTTTTATTTGTGTATGGCAGTCCTTGATTACAAATTGTGTTAAAATGTTGGACCCGGTGAATCAAACCCACGAACTATTGACTGTCTATTATATTGATCGATTTGTTATAGTTTGGTGTTCTAATCGACCGATTTTTTTCCCTGGGATTCAAATTCAGAATCTCTGTACGTCAGGTACATTCTTAGCAATGTGTAAATAAGTACTAAGAGGATTATTATATTATACAAAAAACATATGAACTGGGAATAAAACCGAAGTGTTGCTAAACTACCACTGGGCCTCACTCGTATATGCACGTGTTACTAGCTGAGTAATTTTTAAAATAACTCATGTGTAAGTGCATATTAAACTAAACTTTTAGCAAGCTGCAATCAATAGCGGAGACTGCAATGACAGTACCCAATAAACCATCACTCTGATAAACAAGTTGAATTAATTCAATTTATCGCTACCCGCCGAAAACAGACGCGGTGAAGGTAAATGTAAACTATTAGTTGGGGCATGGCAGAATGACTGATAATGGTCTGACGATATTTCCTTTGTACAGTTATTTAGAAACTTTTATTCTTTTTAATTACACCTTCTTTTTAGTAGACATATTGCTACCTATATATGAGATAAGACGAGGCATGTAGAACTCCACCAACTCTTAGCTGACACACAGAATATTTTATTTTATAGCTTGTAAGCGAAATATCCTGTTCACCCGTGGGGCACGAGGGAACATATTTCTGAGTTCATTGTACTGATTGGTTTTCTTTACAGGTAGCTGCTCAAAATTCAGCGTCCTGCCCGACCGAAATAATCTATAGTTACCACGGGATTCGAACCCAGGACGTTGCACGTTTTATGCAACACATTTAACCATTTAACTACCGAGGGTGTTTAGATACTAGAAATTCATATTTTATGTATTTAGGAAGTTAACCATAAAATATTCTGCCATGCACATTGTATAGTAAAGGGAGGTTAAATGGGAGAGCTATGGTCAAATCAATTATTTCCCTTACTACCGTGAAATGTGGTTTAGCGGTTGGTTGTATATGACTTAATTGAATATGAAAATGCTTACACTTAGTTATAATTTAACTCAATCCCTAGGTTCAGTGGTTAGTAGTATATAATACATAAATATATTTCCCATTATGCACAATATTGTGCACTAAATATAAGGAATGTATGTACCAGGTGTACTTCTAGGCAAGTTCTAAATTCGACCCATATTTCTTAAGTAGTGTCATAAATAAGTGTTAGAATATAAATACACAATAATATAATAACACTAAACATTAAATACTGTCTGTAGTTTACGCGAGTACACATTTAAATAAAACACCTTTACGGTTTAAAACGCGACTTATAATAGTTAAAATTATTTGAAAATAATTAATAATTAGATTAAAATATAATATGATAATAAGTTAATAACTAATACCGCTTTCTGTAGTTTACGCGTTTAAAAGTGTATTGAAATAAAAGACTTTAACGGTTTAAAACGCTAGTCAGTCAGTTATTCAGTTCTGCTAGGACCCGGCCAGTTTCGCCAAATACCAACTTCGACGGAACAGATGGCGTTTGCGTAGCAATTTTTACTTTGACCTTAGAGACATCCTCCATATTTAGTCGAACCGTGACCGCGGCTGCTGCAAAGCATCCGAAACCTTCATCTTCCCTAGTGACAAAATTATAAGGTAAAAAAA